TCCAGGTTACTGAAGATGCACACTTGGCAACCCATGGACCTATACACGATGGCTGTCACTGACGGTAAACCGTCTAAACATAGATCAGTAGGAGCAATGTTTGATTTTTACTGACGGTATTAAACAAGAAATAGTAATCAATGCATTTATTTCGGGTGTCATAGGTATATACTATTAAATAAACAAGTGGATATATATTCTTTAGAGGCGTCACAATTATTGATATTGTATGTCTGAAATCAAATAGTCCAGGGTATGAAACTCCAAAAATATTCAGCCAGACCACAGGGCTGGTTAGATGTAAAACTTACCTGCCCACAAAAACAACAATGCTAACATACATGTCTAAATTTTAACCCGACCGTCGGGCAGGTGAATTTGAAATCTGGCAGTCCGTGTTGAAAATACCCCGTCCCGGGCGGTCGGACAGGCAGACAGGTATTTCGAACGCTGTAAATAGAAATAGATAGTTTAATAGTGAAACAGGGACATCTGACAAATATTTGCATAAGTCGTTGCACGCCGTTCTTGAGATGACTGGCCAAAGCGCCCTACTGTCGATCACGTCCTTAACCAAAGTCAAACTGATAATTATCGCGTGAATCTGCCTGTATTCTCAAGACAGGGCATACTCCTAATCAAACGTCCAATAAGAACTTGGTTCATTCCATGCCATTCTTCCTATGTTCGTTGAGAGTGATCGGTGCTTGTTAATGTGACATACAAGATATCCCCGACATGTTCGATGGATGACATGTCAGGACTGAGAGCTGGCCATGGGAGGAAGGTGCTTATGTTTCGACTTTTACCCGAACCATGTTCACGTACCCATCATGAAAAACGCTTACACGAAATTCATAACACGCTGTGAATGGAATAGTCATTTCTAAATCCATATACAATCAGACGACTTGGTTCCCTTCAATATCACCCTCATGTGGAATATCATCTGCTTTATTCTTGGTATATTTTGGATCTGAATATAATTGAAAATGTATGTATGTAAGTCGGATAACTTGTCCCCAATCCCTTTCACATTTGTGAATAAAATATGTTTAAATCAAATCAAATCTGAAGTACGTTTCTTGTCACATCCAATGTTTCAAGTGAATACTGATGCTATATATGAATACTTTGTTTCAGTGATCCGCTCAGCGTGTCATATAGTGCCAACGTTTATTGGATTGCTTTGTCGCATCGATAATACTAGTCATTATAAGATAAAGAATAGGTTCGTAATGCAAAATCGATGTGCGGCAATTGATCACGACGGGGAAAGATCGATGACCAAACAATAGCTGACAGTGATGCCACCCATGATTATAGATAGTTTCGATACACATGAACAAAATGCTCATAAACGTGTCTGGGGTGGAGTGCGTGTCTATCTGGGAAATAGCAGAGTCAACTCACCAACCATGTCCGCACTCTCTGTGTTGACTTTCCATGAAATATCGGCGCCTTCCATCAGTGACAACATTGCGTTGAGTTCGTGAAGCGCACCTACAATCCACGGGTTTCTGCAACAGTGGTACACGGTGGTAGGAATCAGAATATCGGCCTCAGAATAAACGCCATATTTTTAACTTGTGAAAGCTTGTTGCATACAAATATGTGTTACAGACTCTTCAATATCTTGTTCACAGAAAGACAAACTTGTATTTTAATTCATCTCTGTCTACAGATCTTTGTGGCTACCACTAGATGAGACATCATCAACGATTATAAATTCCGCATGAAATTACTCCATTTGGAGCCACAATTGCCTGTTTAAAAGTATCGTGGAAAAATATCCCCATGGGAATAATTCCCCTAGAAAATATTTTCCAGCAATATCAATGAGCCGGACATGAGAAACACCTTCACATATCAACTGTACCCATGTGAGAATCAATTTCAACAAACTCAGGACGTCGGCGTGAAGAGCGAATTTATCGCAATGACCAATCCGATATACCACCGCCCTGGGTACAAAACAGAAAAATGCAAACTTCACTGCTGTTTCTCCCTTTTTAATTGTGGTGGCTGGGTGGCGAGGTGGGGTGGCTGGGTGGCAACTGGCAAGGTGGGGTGGAGGGTAGGGGTGTTCATTACTGAAAGTCAAATAATTACCACACCATCTCCAAGAGCCGTATTTATGGTTACGAGATCGCCAAAACAAAAACTATTTTATTTAACCCTGTGTGTGGCGCCTATAACCTCCAGAAGTAGGACTCGTTAATGGTTGGAATATTTCATGAGATGAACCAGGATCCACAGAGAGAGCGACAAACATGCGTGACTACTCGAGGAGAGCCGTGGCAAGTGCAGTGATGCTGGTATTTTACCTGTATAACGCTCTTGGAGGTGTTCAACCCAGGAAACTGCAGGTAAGGTTCACCTGCAAGTGCTGCGCCATGGTTGGAAATGTCACCTACTTGTTGAATCAACCAGTCTGACATAACTGTACCGAGTTCTCCTCCTGCAGCTAAACAACCACTCATTTACACAGGCCCGGCTGCTGAGACACACAGTGATTATCTCCCTTGTGTCGCCAACTGCTCGCCAAGACAGAACAATGGAGTGAGTGAGTGTCTGGTATTTATAAAAAGAAATATGAGAATCACAATGTCATTTGGACGAAAGTCAGGGAGGACCCAACTTAAGCCAAACATCAATGGAACCTATTTACAATTTATCTTATTGCCGAAGTTATTTTCAACTACAAGTTTATAAACTGCTGTGAAACCGCATACTATTCGATCAGTCAGGACTATAAGTTTCTCCGTTTGTTTGATGTGTCCAGAATCCAACTCGGACCAGACAGTTGCGTGATCCAAGTTTTGTGAAGAATGTTAAACGCCATCGAGATACTATGACACGCAATAAACCAAGACGACTGACCACACAATACATTTGGTTGCCTCTTTCGATCCACAAACCGTTCGTAACGTTCCGACCTATTGTAACTCTATGCTTTATCACAGGCTAACGAATGGTATAGTGCTACGACGCCGGAACCAGTTCTGGGTGCCCTTGTGCAAAGCGATCTTAGGACTGAGGTGATCGTAACTCTCATACCTTAAACACTTACTATATACGTCTGTCGTAGCGGTAAGGTTGCTTTGTACAACGGCACCCAGGCCTAGAATCTCAAGGGAGAGAATTCCTGACGTAATATGTCACAGCTTCGCCTTGTCATTCTTCTTGTCGTATACGACACAAGACAGAACAACCGGTCATCTATGAAGTAATACGTGAGTTGTTGTAGTATTTCTACTTTTATTGACTAAGTTGTATTTAGTTATAAATAACATGACGTGTTACATTGCTGTTTGTCGACGTAAAACGTAAGAAATTATGATGAAATGTGTAAAAGTCTGCCATTGGTGACGCTAGTCGTGGCTCATGGCGTATCATAACACAACTGGTCATTCTTGACGTCACACACACGCGCGCGCGCGCACGCGCACGCACACACGCACTCACACATGTTGTTGATGTGACATGTTGTAATATATAACAGCTTGTCATTTTTGACATATCACATGATTCACGACGCAATGTATAACAACCGGTCATCTCTGACATTACGCGAGTCGTGACGTAATGTATGGATGGAGGTGTGTGTTTGTGCGCACGTGCATGTATTGTTGACGTAAAACAGTATTCATGACGTAACATATGTTATTACACAGATGGTGAAACATAACCAGTGTCATATATATATCATATATATGCACATATCACTTTTGCCAAGCAACTATATTTCGTCGTTTGTGACGTCATTAAACAATTGAACGTCAATGAAGAGGGTCGTCACACTTGTGAAGCGTGTTTTACTGCTCAAATGTACATAAATAAAATGGATAATAAAGAAATTATTACACTCGAGCAAGTGTGTCATATGACTTATACGAAACTCGTGCAAAATTATGTATTGCCCAAGCGAGAGCGAGTGCAGTGCAAAATTTCACACTCGTTTCGTTTAAGTCGTATGACACACTTGCTCGTGTAATAATCTCTATATATTGTTTGTCATTGCTGACGTAATACACGTCGTGGAGTCGTGACTATTTGAAAGACGCCACTTCTCCACTACAGCTGGCTATGAACAGTAGTACATTAAGGAACAGTGATTAAGGAAAACTGGATTCTGATTCATCCATTTCGAAAAATGTACAACAATAGACAACACGCCACACGACACCACATCGGATAGAATATGGTCATAATTTCTTTGTATTGAATAGTCTGAGACACGTGTGTGTGTTTTTTATCAAGTTGTACACGTGTATAAATTGTACGCAGTGGTGCGAATCAGAGTCAGTCGACAATTGCACGTGTCGCAGGTGTTTAAATTCATGTACACTTGCATATTGCATTCAAACATGCCTTGCACCTGCGGAAAAAACATATGCCGTTGATAAATGCTCCACAGATTTAATTGACAGTTATCTTTTCATGCAGTGTAAAATGTACGCAGCTTGTGTGATGTTGGCTATTTAATCACTGAATCTGAGACCATATGGTTTCTGATTGAATGCACACTTACGAATTAGGATAGTCTGTAGAAGTTAGGTTTTATAGAAAAGGCTAGTGATGGAATCGGAAAATGTTAAAAATACGTTGCTGTTTTTATGAAATCATTTATCATATTATCACGGATTGTATAAAAATGAAGCGTGCTGTGTGTAATTAGACTGTATAACTAACTATAAATTCAGCCAGAGACCATAATGATAAGCTTATTATATGGTTTATGATTCAGCATACAGTATATTGAACAATCTTGTTGTCAGTAATTTTTATGTTATGTAATTACATATACTTGCCTGTTCGAAAGTGGGATTTAAATTATGGCCTTAAACATGAGAACAAGCATTTGTAAAATCTCGTGCGATTTGTCCAGCTCTGAAATTACGCTGAGTCTTATCCAGGCCAAGTTTCCACCTGAACATGTAAACACTCTACTGACCAAGAAAGTGGGTCACAGCCTCACTTTGATTGTTCGAGCTGAGCGATATCTTCACTATCCACAGCCTTGCTGTGCGGGGTACTCACGGGAGTGTCTTCGGAACATTCAAGTTTGATATGGGACTTATTTGTTTGTTGACGTTTTGCTCCTGACTTTGTGAAGAAGATTGGTTTACGGATGTGTTACATTTGCGTGGGATAGTTATCACACAAGACTCAAGCGTTGAAAATTCAAGGTGCGTACAGGTGTGTGGTTTTGAAATATCTGAGTGAATTTTCGATCGTAAATTTACCTGTTTATTTGTTTAGTTTTCTAAACCGTACAGGAAATGTATTTTGGGTGAAAAAATATGTACCGATATCTTGATTTGTCAAAAGTCACAAAAGGCATGCCTTTTATTCCGAATCTGGCATCAGTATCTGCTACTGTTGTTTGTTTATCCCGTACCCTTTGAAGTATTCCGGGACTCGCACAGGTGCGACTCAGGTAAGTGGACTCTCACCTGTAATATGTACCACACACACAGGTAGACAGGGAGTTGACAAGTACATAGTGTTTGATGTACAACAGGTACATGGAATGAGGAATACCCTCACTGACACGCAAAGACAAATTTGATTAGTTAGACAATTTATTAATTTAAATATTTGACCCATTTTATCAACAGGGAAAAGTATGATGGTTTTAATGTACGACTTCCTATATGTATGTATGGCAATCAGCAGTGTACATTGTGGGAGTAGAAAGTGAATGTTCTCTTTGATAAACAGTTCTGTGTTCAGACAAAGAATATTGCTGTAATCATGGAACAGGTAGACAAATAAACAAATGGAGGTAAATAGGTTGTTGTCAACATCAATTATTGATTGTTTAACTTCAGGAACAGAAATCAATATGATCACAAGGCATGTTGAGGTAAATTATTGAACACTTATAGAACAAGTAGTAGGAATTTTTCAACAAAAGAGCCCCAACTGTTTGTTTTTTTATGAATATTTACAAAACGTGAACTGTTCATGATAGTCAATTCAAGTATATCTTACATGAAGTTTAAATATCTGAAATTATCATATTCTTAAAATCTGTTTCCATGGCTGTACATGACTTTTAATTTTAAATTAAATTCTAAATTGCTGCTGGAGTCTTTCATAGTGTCTTCATTACTATAGATATAAATATATATATCACAGTACACTATATATACCATAGTAAATTATATATATCACAGTAAATTATATATACCATAGTAAATTATATATATCACAGTAAGTTGACAGTATACATTTACTCTGTTTAAGTCATTATACATTCCATTCTGGAATGAAGCCAAATTGATGTTTTTTTTGTGATGATTGAACTGGCTGGATAATGTTGGGTTTACAGGTGCTTGCTCGTGTTTCTGATGCTTGTTTGATAAGTTTATTGTTTAATGCAATTTAGATTTGATACAGTTTCTTCAACTCCTATTTCTTTTTGTTGTAAATGGAACCTAATCTAGACATGATGATTCAAACGTTTCAATACTTTGAAATTTTACAAATTATTCAAGAATCCACTTCACCATGTCCAACACATCATACTGATTTTATCAGTTGTATTTCATTCGTTGACATGGTGAAGTGAATTCTTGAATAATTTGTAAAATTTCAAAGTATGCAACCTTTGAATCATGACATGTCCTGCCAGGTCAGAGGTCAGTTGAAGGTGAAGGTTAGTTTTAAAGACATTAAGACCAGCACTAATTGTCCATGTCTCCTCCAGGCTGCTTGAGTGTTAGATTAACAGGTCAAGGTAACTTGAACAAGAATCCAAATAGAACAGTCCCGGCAATATTTGTGCTTCATGCATCCTGTCCACGCCAGGTATTAGTTCACAAACCATGACCAATGTGGTCTCAACCAGGTGAGGACAGTGCACATCTCAACATGGCCGTGATGTGTTTACAAACATTAGTGCATTTACACCATTTGTGGGATCACAGTGTATTCTAATTTCATTAATCCTGCCACACCTGAGATAACGAGAACTGCAGGTGTTAACTACATGATCATAGATCGAGTGAGGTGAATTATGCTTTAACTGCACTTTACAGATTTTTTCACTAAAAACAGTGACATAGGCGTGTGTGTGTGTGTGTGTTAGTGGATGTCCGATTAATTGAAAGAATCGAAGGTTGGTCGCAGTCCAAACGACCAAGCAATCGATCATGTTTTCTTATAATCGAACACAAACAATTTTGGAAAAAAGGTTGGTTTTGTCTGTGTCATTAAATTTACATTTCATAAGCACTACAAGCTTGTTCCAAGTCATGATTGAATTTATCTCAAAGACTCCAGGAAATTTATGTTCCTAACATACTAGTAATCCCGTAAAGAAGTGAAATTTACAAATATATTTTGTACAATTTACAAAAAAAACCTCAAAAAACGTTTTTGCATTAACAAACATAACAGGAAAATCTGATAAATGATGCAAACTAATTATTTTCGATGATTGATCGCTTGTAAAGAACCAATCATCAATTATGCGATTTTAACCAATTCCCAACACTAGTGTGTGTGTTTACTAGGCTAGAGTGATGCTGTTTTGAAGTTCTAGCCCAATGAGATACCATGCTTTGGTTCAGCATGGATACCTCTGTCATATACATTATACTGACTCCAAGATTGACCATAGGGTTTTATGCAACAAAAATGTGCACAAATGTAATTTGTAAAGAATGGACTGAAAAAATATATGCTACATCCCATGGAACACAGTGGTATTCCTTAAACCAAAAGCATGAAGATTAGCTTTGGGTGTCTGTCACTTAGCTCATTAATTATGCCAACTGTCCACACAGCACAAACTCATTCCAAGCTAAAGTAATCATCAGAAATTACAAGACTCCTCACCATTTTATTACTCAACAGGATTCTCATGTGTCTTATCACGCCGTCGGGTGGTGAGGTAGCCTAATGGTTAAAGCGTTCGCTCATCACTCTGAAGGCCCGGGTTCGATTCCCCACATGGATACAATGTGTGGAAGCCCATTTCTGGTGTTCCCAGTCGTGATATTGCTGGAATATTGCTAAAAGTGGAGGAAAATGAATCTCACTCACTTATACATGTTAAAAGACCCTTAAAATATATTCATGGTGGTCTCCTGAACCCTACTTCTGTAAGTCACAAAAAAAACGTGATCATTTCTTCTTTTTTCCTCCTAATGCTCGGTGCCAGGGTAACAACAAGTACATCTATTGGCTTGAAGTGGCAGGGAATCAAACCGTTAGCTCACTGGGCAGATACTTTATCCACTACACCATGGACGTGATGTGGATGCATCATAGTAAGGTCCAGGGTGCCGTTGTACAAAATGATCTTAGCGCTAAGGTGACCGTAATTCCCATACCTTAACATAGACTTAAGGTAGCCTTAGCGCGCTAAGGTTGTTTTGTACAATGGCACCCAGATTGACAAATGTAAATTGCTGCATTTTGTAACCATCATCCAAACAGCGAAGTTGGTCAGTGTGAGCTCATATTTCTGTTTTATTAATTAAAGAAGAATTACTTATCAAATGATGGATAATTTCTGTAAATTCATTTACATTTTAGAGTTGATAATTTTGAAATGGGATGCTAATTACCATACAACATGTCACAGCCTTCATGTAATTCTGCACATGTGTGTAGCTCAGCTCGGGTCACAGAACACTAACTCACATCCAGGTTTCCAGAACTAAAGTCACTTCAGCTGAAATTGGAAACAGTATCCCACACCATCATTGAGTTTAGTTGAAGCCATACTCGTACTGCTGGCATTGTGTTTCTGCAGCACTGAACTTAGTTGTCTCGGTCAATGGTGCCCGAAGACATATGGACTTGAGATGGGAGTTAATTTGATATCCGTGTAGAGCAGAAATAACTTTATTTTCTTAAATATCAGATTGTTTTCTTCTGTGAAATTATAACCAGAACAGGTGGAAATACGTTCAAAGTGAACAGAAACAATACGATTGGGATATTTTGTTTCGGTTCAGTTCCAGTGGTTCTAAAGACATGGTAATGTGAGGGTACTATATCTCTCATGGCCATTGCATTTGCAAAAGCCGAGGTTTGCCATTAACTACCCAGACTGGTGTGAAGTTTTTACATAGCCAGAAAATCATTCCCAGAGGTCATTGATTCACAAAATAACAACATTGTACAAATATTTACTCTTGATGAGGTCAATATACAAAAAGAAGGACCACCGAACCTGATCCCTGGTTATTTCACTGGACCTCGGTCTATGGCCAAAAGGGTCACATGTGAGGTCCCTGTTTTCACATACTGACCTCATCAAGAGTTACCATTCATTTTGTTAGACCTATATCCACTTTTAATGTTCTTGAAACATGTAAACTGTTCTCATTTGCATAACAGATTTGCATAACAGATTGCAGACAGATTGTTGAGGAAACTGCTCTCAAGGTGCAGTGACCTGCAGATTTGTGATAAAATGTAGGCATTGCTGGGAAAGTGCTATCCATTTAGTTGTAACAGAAGTTATCCTAAAAACAGTTTAATGTTTGAAACATTTAATGTTTTCTTAATTAATTAATACACTTGGTAGGATTTGCGACTAAAGATCACAGATGACTGTCATTGTCATCTCTGTGTAAAAAATGTTGAATCATTGGACTGTGTTCAAGTTAGCTGTCAATACACATACTTTTAGAATGTATATAATGTAGAAAACAGATTCAGATATTCACTCATGTGTCTGATCTTATTAGCCTTCTTGTTCTAATTGTACTAGTCTAAAGTGGATTAGAAAACAGTCTGTTATCTCATGCTATCTATGTACAATAAAATCTTCATTATAAACACTGTCGCTGAAGGTAGTAGGACATTATCCTCTGACGGCAGGCCGAGATTTATTGCCCTACTATCTCAATGAACTGCATACTGCCAGTGAAGGCAAGTGGTCAACAGCTCTCTATAGGTGAATGTGGCCGCTGTAGATAGCGGAGATAGTGTAAGTGGTCATGTGGTGGCCGGGAACCTACCTAAACAGATAAGCCGCACAATATACCACCCACCTGGTCCACGGAGAGATGGTAGACTTCAGTACCACCCACCTGGTCCACGGAGAGATGGTTGACTTCAGTACCACCCACCTGGTCCACGGAGAGATGGTAGACTTCAGTACCACCCACCTGGTCCACGGAGAGATGGTAGACTTCAGTACCACCCACCTGGTCCACGGAGAGATGGTAGACTTCAGTACCACCCACCTGGTCCACGGAGAGATGGTAGACTTCAGTACCACCCACCTGGTCCACGGAGAGATGGTAGACTTCAGGTACCACCCACCTGGTCCACGGAGAGATGGTAGACTTCAGTACCACCCACCTGGTCCACCCACCTGGTCCACGGAGAGATGGTAGACTTCAGTACCACCTACCTGGTCCACCCCACCTGGTCCACGGAGAGATGGTAGACTTCCTGTACCACCCACCTGGTCCACGGAGAGATGGTGGACTTCAGTACCCCACCTGGTCCCACCTGGTCCACGGAGAGATGGTAGACTTCAGTACCACCCACCTGGTCCCGCGGACCTGGTCCATGGTCCAGAGATGGTAGACTTCAGTACCACCCACCTGGTCCACGGAGAGATGGTAGACTTCGGTACCACCCACCTGGTCCACGGAGAGATGGTAGACTTCAGTACCACCTACCACCATGGAGAGATGGTAGGTCCACCCACCTGGAGAGATGGTAGACTTCAGTACCACCCACCTGGTCCACGGAGAGATGGTAGACTTCAGTACCACCCACCTGGTCCACGGAGAGATGGTAGTCCTTGGTACCACCCACCTGGTCCAGGAAGAGCTGGTAGTCTTCAGTACCACCCACCCGGTCCAAGAAGACATGGTAGTCTTCAGTACCACCCACCTTGTCCAGGAAGAGATGGTAGTCTTCGGTACCACCCACCTGGTCAGGGAGAGATGGCAGTCCACGGTTCCACCCACCTGGTCCAGGAAGAGATGGTAGTCTTGGCAGTTCCAACCATCTAGAGGGGTAAAGGGTCTTAGTCTTGACGCAGTGTTACCATGTAGCTTAACTAGAATTTTCTAAAGTATTTGATTTAAAAAAATAATATGTATAGAGATCAGATAGGTAGAGTAAATGTTTGATTTTCCTTTTTACAGTTGGACTAACGTTCTGACAACTTGAAGCATGTTACATGGTTGTATTTCATTAAGTGAAATATAGACATTGGTAATTCATCATATATCAATACATATTTTGTAAAATAATCTTACATTCCATTTCATGAAAGTTAATAGGATTGCCTCTACATGCGAAAATGTAGCGATCATTGTTTTCTGTGACGGTGACCCTCTGATTGCCGTGTAAAGTAGTCCAGGTGTCCTATATGCAAAACGTATGGCTATTTGTTCCTAAAATCCATGTGGGTCTAAACAGTCCCTGTGCTCTGATGGTTCCACAGAGCTGTCTCCACAATGAGCTAATGGTAAACAAGTTAAAGTTATCTGTGCATCTGAAGGTAATCTCTGTGTTATATGAGACAGATGAGGCAATGCTGTTTGGAGTATTCCAGCTGGCTGAAGCCCCTGGTTGGAGTCGGGTCTGGATGTTATTTGCCATGTCCCGTCTGTAGTCTTCAGGACAAGCCCAGAGTGCACCCAACAGATTTAACATCTTCACATTAAGTTAAAAGAACCTGATGGCCTGACCTTTGCTCCTTTTCCATTTTCCGAATGTGAAGAGAGTTCCGCCAAGCATGTGAGAACTTCAGACCTGCAGGCAGAACATATTCCCTTAAGCCACTCTGCTCCAGCCCAATGTGGCCATTTTTACCAGATGGTTGAAAAATGATCGTTTTCTTGCCCATCAAAAACTGATGTGCTGGAGGATATAAAGTGTAGATTATTATGGTGCTTGGAAGCCTGGCAGTGACACGAGTCAGCAAAAAGTGTATTTGTTACATCGTGTGTGAAGTGGAGCATGACCGTGGTAATGTGACAATGATTCCTATCGGGATGGTGACTGGTCACAGTTGATAGTTAACCAGCACCTGACAAAGCATATTTCATCAAATCATCCTGTGGAAAAAGGTGATCGTAGTTACGGTTGACTTAAGCATGTTAAGAGTAAACAAACATTTGTGTTAATGATGATGATCAATAGTTGCGTACTGTTTGATAGTTGTCAGTACAATTCATTAATATGTTTTATTGGATGTGTCTAGTCTGAGTGCTGTTTCTTCTTTGTTTAGCTCTAACCATGATACGAATGATGATCTTCGTATTAGTGTATTGCATATTTTGAATAGGGAATGGAAGGGTTTTTTGGGTTTTTTATTTGATTGCAGTCATCACAAAGTATTTTTTTATTTCATGAAGCCAGACCAATTTTATTTCTTGTTTTACGAATTTTTGTCCTCAGAAAACCTAAAGGCAAGAGGGAAATTTTTTTTACCAGTGTCAAAATAATATTCCTTTGAATATTAAAATTATTATACTTTTGGCAATTTATGAAGTTATATGTGGCAAAAAACAATCTTAAAAAAACATTTCTTGTAAGTTTACATTTTTGGCCAATAATGTTTTTTTCTTATTCAAAATACGACCGATTTTCCGTAAAACAAGAAATAAAATTGGTCTGACCTAACTGTAAATAAACTGAAACAGTAACTCTCAGCTGAAATCTGACCTGACGTCTTTGCTGTAGATTCCATCTTAAAATAGCTAAGAAAAGGGGAACATTCTGAAAAAAGATGTTTTGGTCATTGTTGCTGATCTGTCAAGATTATCTCCAACCTATCAATCATGAAGTAAACCGTCTCCTGTTTCAAGAGCTATGTACACACGTAATGAAAACAGGGATCCTTTCAAGTGTGAGCCCGGATACCCGTCAGGTATGCCCAGTGAATGTCTCTAGTTTCACCCACCAAGACGCCCTCCATCACACTAACTGTAGCAGTGTTCTATACTTTCAGAAGCCTATGTCTATTGTGTGAAACGGTTTGCGTCTGATGTGACTGGACAGCTCTTTTCCAGCAACATCAATTGGTGGAGATTTGACTTTGGCCGTGTCCAAAATAGACAGACCCTTTATATATTGAATTATTGGCAAGCCTGGCAGGCTTAGCTAAATTTGATATAAGAATGTATTTGATAGAGCTTCTTCCAGCTACGGATCAATGTCCAATACAAGGCTATGTTCTTGGTGTTGTGAGTGAGCTGGGCATACATTGAAGAGATAGTTGTATTGTCTGCTGATACAAAGATTCCTTGTATGTACAACTGTGGCAGGCCATAGCTTTTGTCATGAATCTGTCAACCCTGTTATTGGTCTTTGATTGGAAATAATATAACTGAAATATTTTCAAAACATATTGTTGTCGATTTCAACAGAATCTTTCTTTATGATGACATTAATGATATTTTAACATATAATTATGGTACATGCAAGATGTTAAGCATTGTTAAATTCATGTTCATGTTACAAATTGTCCTGTGACCCATGTGTATACACAACTGACCCAATACCCCCACTCCTGACTAACTACCTGTACCTTCATCCATACCTGTACTGTTAGCAATGCTTCCACCCCACCCCCAACATCCTGTGTTCCACCCTCTACCACCCTCTACCTCCACAGCCTGTGTTCCACCCTCTACCTCCACATCCTGTATTCTACCCTCTATCTCCACAGCCTGTGTTCCACCCACACATCCTATGTTCCACCCACACATCCTGTGTTCCACCCTCTACCCCCACAGCCTGATTTCCCAACCCCCACAGCCTGTGACCCCACCCCAGCATCCTGTGTTCCCAAACCCCAACAGCCTGAGTTCCCAACCCCCTCAGCCTGTGTTCCACCCTCTACCTCCACAGCCTGTGTTCCACCCTCTGCCTCCACAGCCTGTGTTTCCAACCCTGTATCCTGAGTCTCAACTCCAAACTCCTGTACCCCCACCCTCTACCTCCACACCCCATGTCCCAACCTCCAAACTCCTCTGCTTCAACATCCAGTGTCCCCAACCCCCAAATCCTGTGTTCCACCCTCTACCTCCACATCCTGTGTACCCTCCTGTGTTCCACCCTCTACCTCCACATCCTGTGTACCCACCCCCAAATCCTGTGTTCCACCCTCTACCTCCCCATTCTGTGTCCCCACCCCCAAATCCTGTGTTCCACCCTCTACCTCCATATCCCATGTCCCCACCCCCAAATCCTGTGCCCCCACCCTCTACCTCCACATCCTGTGTCCCCATCCCCAAATCCTGTGCCCCCACCCTCTACCTCTACATCCTGTGTCCCCACCCTCTGCATCCTGTGCCCCATTTTCTACATCCATATCCTGTGCCCCACCCACTACCTCCACATCCTCTGTTCCCACATCCAGAATCCTATGCCCCTACCATCTACCCCCATCCTGTGCCCCACCCCACCCCACATCCTGTGCCCCCACCCTTTACCTCCACTCCTTTACCTCTTTATCAGAACATCTGACAAATAGTGACATGCTTAAAAGATGTTTTCCATTAGCCTTGACCAAATGCTATGAAAAAACCCATCAGTGATTCATTCCTGGGATATGGTGGATAGATGAATGTTGAAATAGGATTACCTTTTGAAATCAGTGACCACTTTATGTGAGGCTCCCAAACCACATTTCAACAAATTGGATGGAAATCCTGGCAGTTGACTTTGAAGCCTAATTTTAATCAGGGAAGTGTGAACGTGCAAGCTAGCAAATAAAAACATCCTCATTTCCCAGTAAACACAAATCACCCAAACTCCTCCCCCCATGAATCACACATGTTGTAAACCCCCTTGTATCACACTCGGCTGCCTGGATCCACCTGCCAGTTGGGCTGCAGATCATTTAGACCTGGTCTGTGCGGATCACATCAACAGATCCACATGGGATATATCAGTCAGTGTATGTTAGACTGATGGAGTCAAGCAGTCTAAAACATTATCTCAGAACATTAGGCATTCGCTGTAGCTTAGTGAGGTGGCTTCCATAGGGTTGAGATGAGGTTGGGGACACATTCACCCCCCTTGTATAAGTGTGAGCTTGTACTTCCATTAAGGCAGACTTGAAATCAGAAGATATGTGTCATCTGTATTTCATGATCCTGTGATTTTTGTGTATAATATAGTTATGTAGTTGAATTAAGTGCAAACTAAATGATTTGAAAGTATAACATTTTCCAAAAAAACAACACATTATTTCATGATTCTCTGAGTTTTAAGGATGTACTAAAAACTGTGGGTTGGCCAGTCCATGAATTGAAAACATGAATATCATTATGGAAACAAAAGAAAAGACTATATTTGATACCAGACTGTTGCTATTTGATATATCTGTAATCTCAGCACAAAGGGGGGATATGTTTGTATGTGCTCGGTTATTAAATATAATTTCAAATGTGAATTTCCCAAAATTAGGTTATAGTTTATAATCATGTTTAAATAGACTTTTCTCAAAGTTCACAGAACCAATAACGATAACAGGATGAATAAACAGAACAAGTCTGAACGAGAAGCTAAATACCCCTGACTTAAATAGATGGGAGCCATCAAACAGTTCCAGTGTGGTACAAGATAACATGTTTTTCCCATTTACTGACAGTCCCAGGTGAACCCTTGCAAGATACTCACATTATTGCCAAGCTGCTTCACATTTGTATACCCCAACATCCAGCACAGGTAGGATTAGACACTTGGAACTCATAGAGTTGGCAGAAACTTACTGATCACCAGAACAAAATACGTTTTGAGAAAATTCTCCCTGAGGAAATAGACTGTACTCTGAGTTGGCTAACTTAGGTTCCAATGGTCTACAATAGATTCCGATTCTTTATATTCTTTATAGCCACCATGCTGTGCACAAATACTTGAACAATGTTTGGATCGCTGTATCAGAAACTTGTGATAACCTTTTGCCTTGTTCTTGTCCGAAAAAATAACATGACTGAGGTTCCTGATTCAGCGTGGGGAGTCCGTGAAGTGGGTTAGTTTGCTAAGGTAGGATCTCTCCATGCAGTGAGTTTCAGTCAGCTCCCTAAATGAAGGTACAGTTTGTCAGGTGAATGAGAAGAAGCAAGGGGGGATATTACTGTGTCAATTCTAGGGGTGTATGACTCATTCCACAGATAGCTTCAGCCATATCTTATTGTTTGGACTGCTTTAATTCTGTTGAGATTTTGGCACTGTTTTTACAGAAACTTGATAATTAAACTTTTGTTAGTCTTGTACTGACAGATTCATAGCATTGTATTGTCACGAGGTTTCTACACTATAGTGGAAAGACTTCTGTAGAAATACTTGACTTCATGTCCGTGTAAAAACAATGATGGAGTCGAATTTGTTGAAAGAGTGATACAAACCAGAGACCTTGTACCAGTATGTTTATATACTTGAGTGCTTGATATACCAGTATGTGTATATGAGTGTTTGATATACCAGTATGTGTATATGAGTGTTTGATATGCCAGTATGTGTATATGAGTGTTTGATATACCAGTATGTGTATATGAGTGCTTGATATACCAGTATGTGTATATGAGTGTTTGAATTACCAGTATGTGTATATGAGTGTTTGATATACCAGTATGTGTATATAAGTGCTTGATATACCAGTATGTGTATATGAGTGTTTGATATACCAGTATGTGTATATGAGTGTTTGATATACCAGTATGTGTATATAAGTGTTTGATATACCAGTATGTGTATATGAGTGTTTGATATACCAGTATGTGTATATGAGTGTTTGATATACCAGTATGTGTATATGAGTGTTTGATATACCAGTATGTGTATATAAGTGCTTGATATACCAGTATGTGTATGAGTGTTTGATATACCAGTATGTGTATATGAGTGTTTGATATACCAGTATGTGTATATGAGTGTTTGATATACCAGTATGTGTATATGAGTGTTTGATATACCAGTATGTGTATATGAGTGTTTGATATACCAGTATGTGTATATGAGTGTTTGATATACCAGTATGTGTATATGAGTGTTTGATATACCAGTATGTGTATATGAGTGTTTGATATACCAGTATGTGTATATGAGTGTTTGATATACCAGTATGTGTATATGAGTGTTTGATATACCAGTATGTGTATATGAGTGTTTGATATACCAGTATGTGTATATGAGTGTTTGATATACCAGTATGTGTATGTAGTTTGATATACCAGTATGTGCATATGAGTGTTTGATATACCAGTATGTGTATATGAGTGTTTGATATACCAGTATGTGTATATGAGTGTTTGATATACCAGTATGTGTATATGAGTGTTTGATATACCAGTATGTGTATATGAGTTTTATGTGTATATGAGTGTTTGATATACCAGTATGTGTATATGAGTGTTTGATATACCAGTATGTGTATATGAGTGTTTGATATACCAGTATGTGTATATGAGTGTTTGATATACCAGTATGTGTATATGAGTGTTTGATATACCAGTATGTGTATATGAGTGTTTGATATACCAGTATGTGTATATGAGTGTTTGATATGAGTATGTATGTGTATATGAGTGTTTGATATACCAGTATGTGTATATGAGTGCTTGATATACCAGTATGTGTATATGAGTGTTTGAATATACCAGTATGTGTATATGAGTGTTATGATATACCCAGTATGTGTATATGAGTGTTTGATATACCAGTATGTGTATATGAGTGTTTGATATACCAGTATGTGTATATGATGTTTGATATACTGTGTGTATGTGTTTGATATACCAGTATGTGTATATGAGTGTTTGATATACCAGTATGTTATGAGTGTTTGATATACCAGTATGTGTATATGAGTGTTTGATATACCAGTATGTGTATATGAGTGTTTGATATACCAGTATGTGTATATGAGTGTTATGTGTATATGAGTGTTTGATATACCAGTATGTGTATATGAGTGTTTGATATACCAGTATGTGTATATGAGTGTTTGATATACCAGTGTTTGAGTGTTTGATATACCAGTATGTGTATATGAGTGTTTGATATACCGTATACTGTTTGTATGTGTATATATGAGTGTTTGATATACCAGTATGTGTATATGAGTGTTTGATATACCAGTATGTGTATATGAGTGTTTGATATACCAGTATGTGTATATGAGTGTTTGATATACTGGTATGTGTATATGAGTGTTTGATATACCAGTATGTGTATATGAGTGTTTGATATACCAGTATGTGTATATGAGTGTTTGATATACCAGTATGTGTATGTGTATATGAGTGTATACTGATATACTGGTATGTATATATGAGTATATACCAGTATGTGTATATGAGTGTTTGATATGCCAGTATGTGTATATGAGTGTTTGATATACCAGTATGTATATGAGTGTTTGATATACCAGTATATATGAGTGTTTGATATGACCAGTATGATATACCAGTATGTGTATATGAGTGTTTGATATACTGGTATGTATATATGAGTGTTTGATATACTGGTATGTATATATGAGTGTTTGATATACCAGTATGTGTATATGAGTGTTTGATATACCAGTATGTGTATATGAGTGTTTGATATACCAGTATGTGTATATGAGTGTTATGTGTATATGAGTGTTTGATATACTGGTATGTGTGTATGAGTGTTTGATATACCAGTATGTGTATAAGTGTTTGATATACCAGTATGTGTGTATGTTTGCTATACCTGTATGTATATGCTTGTTCTTGACATACTGGTATGTGTATACAAGAGCTGTATGTTGTTAGAGTATTTCAACTTGCTATCCAGGTACATGGTCTCAGCAGAAACTAACAGCATCATGACATTCATGATAGAGCAGTGTTCAGACATATGGTTGCCTATTATGGCTGGTGTTTGACATAAGACTGTTCAACAAGCTGTGATGTTTATACTAACATGGTGTTAATAGTTGGTCTGTCCAGTCTGTTTATGACACGTGTTGGAGGAAGATGAGAGGCTCATGGCTTCAATGTCAACAACTCCTCTGAGAAGGGGACTTGTCTGGGTTCAGGGAAGAAAAGTTTTATAATGTTTGAAATGCATTCCTCCTTTCTTGCAATGGTAGTGTATTGAGGTTAAGGCTTGTAATGGTTGGTTACCATGGTCACTGTATGTAGTGATGTTAGTTTGTTGCCATGGTAATGTGGTGATGTAACTGTCTCCTAGTCTGTCATACAGACTGAAACAAATAAATCCAAGAGAGCCCATGCAATTCTAGAAAATGTGACAAGTCTAGATTTCCACAGCTTCAGGAAATGAAGAAAGTCTCCTTTTCATTATATTTTATTCTTTTTACTATAAACTTTTTTTTCTGTAAAATATGTTCATATCAGAGACTAGTTGTTAGTCTGTCTCCCGGTGTGGCAAGATGCCCTCCCAGTCAGCAGTGAGAAGACAGTGCCGCCAAGTCAGGGCTAGAGTTACAGGTCCCTTGGGGGAAGAAGGGAGGTTGGCAGGCCATCATT